CCCCGCCCCCGCCCCGGAGGGTTTGGCCCTCCATCAGGTACCCCTAGTGTCAGCCCTAACCCTTCCCACCCTGTTGCGGTCCAGACCACTACCCAGGGCTCAATATCTACCTAAGGTTAACAACGCCCAGCTTTTGAGCCCCTGCTGTATGCCAAGCACAGTGCTAAGTGCTTCCTGTGATCCCTTCCCCTCTGCCTCCTGTGGGAAAGTCGTCGCATTTCCCCCATTTTTCGGATAAAAAGACAAGCTCAGAGAGAGGAGATGAGTTGTCCGGGGTCACCCAGCCAGCAAGTGGTGGAGCCAGAACGAAAAGCCAGGCTGTCTGACTCCCCGCTGGACTCTTAACCCCACACTCGAACTTTCAAAGGGAAGATGGTATCTGTTCAACTCCTCCCTTTGATGAGGTCCAATGTGTAGGTCAGAGCTGGAAGGGACCAGAGAAATGACCTAATCCTACGATTCTCAACAGTTCATAAATCCACCCCACCCCCCAACGCACACCAACTTCGCTATCAGGGAACCTGCTCCTGCCGTGAGAGAAGCAGAGACCTCTTTTTCTAAGAAGGGATGTTTCTGCCGGTCTGTTTATCGTGTAGGTAGGGTCAGGCTGAATAATGGTGATTTCAGCGGTGTCACTGGGAGCCAATATTATTGCTATGGCTTTAAAACACAAACAAAAAAAGAATCTATTAGTCACCGAGGAGTGTAATGAGCCTGTTGAGTAATCAGCCTGCCGGCCATGGTACCTGTAAAGCACACAGATGATAAATGAAATACCACGGCCAAATTCCTGGGCACCTGTGGGTGGGTGTGAGGCCTGTGGGCCGGCAGGTCATGGGCCTTGTTCTGGAAATTCTGTTTCCTACCACTGGTGTGAGGACCCCTGCCCAAGTTCAGTTTCCCATTTCACAGATGGGGAAACCAAGGCGCAGAGAGGCAAAATGGTTTACCCAAGGTCACCCATCGAGTTCAGGACAGAGTCAGGGCTAGAGGCCAGTTCTTGCTGGCTGTCCACAAGCTGGGAGGACAGTAAGTGCTTTGGAGCTGTGGCTGGGGTCACATGGGGTGTTCTCCATCCCTCTCTGACCTGCTTTCCTCCTCCCTCTGACATTCTCTGGCTGATCTCAGACCCTCTTCTCCCCTCCTTTGCAGATAAGGCTGCCAAAGTTTCCAGAGGGACCTGGGGACAGGGTGTGGCTTCCGGAATGTCCAGCCTTGGGGACGGGCTGGAGAGAGACCAGGATTCGTGACTGCTTCTCCCTTCCCCAGGCCTGTCCACTCGCAGCTGCGTGGGTGGATCTGGACACTCTAGAACTTGCCAAATGAACAAAGAGACCAAGGTTTCCCCAAAATCCAATCAGAAAGGGCCTCCTTGGAAGGAAGAAAGACTGGGAAGGATCTGGCCAAAGTTATGACTTCTGAGCACACTGAGACTATCAGCCACTCGTGTGAGCCAGTCATTTTCCTTGCCCAGGCCTCGGTTTTCCTCTTCTGTAGAGTGGGTATAGGGATACCCATCCATTCAGCAAAACTTTGAGTGCCCCGTCATCAACGTTAATAGTTCAGCTCTTCTCATGTTTCAGGCACTGAGCTAATCACTCTCCATGCATTCTTGTATTCAATCTCACGGCGACTTTAAAGCTAGGATTTAGACTTCCTGTTTCAATGATAAGGTAACTAGGGCTCAGAGAATTTTAACAACTTGTCCAGGATCCCACAACAAACCGAGGATCCAAATCCAGGGGCCAAAGGGAGGAACCTGTGCCACATTCTGAAGGTGCTTCAAGCTGGGGAATGGTGTCAGCTAGAGAGGGACCCTTAGGTCAACCCCGGAGTGATCGGGGCACCCTCAGAGGATGCTGTGCACTGGGCACAGAACCAAGTCCTGCGGCCCAGCCGCTCTGGCCGGAGAGGGGGGGATCTGGTGACCTCCATCATGACATCACCGATAGGCTGCTGACCACCTGGCAGCTGGGGGGCCCATTGGCAGAGCTGGACAGGCACAGGGCTGTCCCAGTGCGCCTCCCCTCTGGCCAGCTCCCTGGGTAGCAAGTGTGGATGCTGTGAGGGGAGCTGGGTTCTAAGAATGACAGCAGTTACGAGGCCAGCCACCAGAAAATGAGTCCGGACTTTCCAGACGTTTGCTGATTTGATCCCCCACCAGTGTCGTGATGAGGGGGTTATTAGCCTCATTTACAGATGAAGAGACTGAGGTCCGGAGAGGTGAAGTGACTAGTTCAGAGTCACCGGGATCGTGATTTTACCAGAATCTGTCTGCCCACAGCCCATGGTTTTTCACTGTCCCTAGCACCAATGTATATTTGTTGTAGCACTTTGCATGAGTCATTACACCTCCCTAGGCCTTGGTTTCCATGAAATGAGAAAATTCATTCCTGCCCTTGTTAAAAAGTGCTGGAAGATTTCAATGAGGTCATAGATGTAGATGATGTGCTTTCAAGTTCTGCCCATGATTGACACTTTGCTCTTATGTGATTTCAGGGTTATTGGTGACTCCATAGCCTGGAAGTATCATCTCCTCTGGCCTGCCCCATGCCTTAAAATTCCACACTTAGGGGCGCCTGGGTGGCGCAGTCGGTTAAGCGTCCGACTTCAGCCAGGTCACGATCTCGCGGTCCGTGAGTTCGAGCCCCGCGTCAGGCTCTGGGCTGATGGCTCAGAGCCTGGAGCCTGTTTCCGATTCTGTGTCTCCCTCTCTCTCTACCCCTCGCCCGTTCATGCTCTGTCTCTCTCTGTCCCAAAAATAAACGTTGAAAAAAAAAATTAAAAAAAAAAAATTCCACACTTAGAGATAATTTCCAGAGTCTGACTTGTCCCCAGTAAGTCCCTTAGCAGAGCAGCGTGTTTGGGGCACAATTACCCACCATCATCGGACAGTAGGACCTTTACAATATTGCTATGTGATTCGGTCAAGTTCAGTCATTTCCTGGACTGGTCTGGGAAGGTGAGCATTTCCTCTAGACCTGGATGAAGTCCTGTCTAAGCTCAGTCCCCTCCTCTTAGAGGCAAATATACCACCTCCCATGGAAGGCAGAAGTGGTCAAAAGATTCTGCGGCCACCACTGCCTTGGGCCCCAACGGGTCCGGTGACTCAGGTCTGGAAGTCAGAGAGGTGGGCTCTGGGAGATCCTCCTGTGTGGAATCTAGACAGACAGAAGGCATTTGGGGAAGATGGACAGCCCCATTGGGTGGCCAGAAGGTAGTGTGACCAGTACAGAGATCAGAAGCCAGTGTGGGTTCTGCCAGAATGGACAGGCAGAGTGAGGTCAGAAGCAGGAAATGGGGGGCAGGATGTCTCAATCATTACCTGCATGATTTTAATTTCTAGACGTGACTGAGCGTCTGAGGCGATGTCATCTCTAGCAGCGAGCTTCTGGGCCAGGGCGATGTCATCTGGGATGTGGGGACTGGGGTTATCTTTCCCAGGTGGGTCACCATGGAGCTGATGTGGGGCTCAGTGCCTGCCACGTTTGCTTGCAACAATGACTCCTTTGGAAGGACCCCCAGACCAATAATAATAAGACCATAGTTACCAGAATGGTGTGCAGCTGCACTTGACTTTTGGTAGAAGTTTAGGTTCTGATGGGTCCCCTATCAGATGAGCCGTTGCCTGGCCTGTGGGACAATCTGTGGTTAATGCATCCCAGGGGAACATGTACCCTTGGTTTGGCCTCCAGCACTTATGCGATAGAGGCTGGATCAAAAATTTATAAGGGTAGGTTAAGGCCTGGGACAAGGTAGAGACTCATTTAGGGGGTCTCTATTCCTATTTGCTAGATAGGAATTTTAAAAGGAGTTGTCTGAGGAGATCATTATGCTTCTCAGTTAAACTGGCTGTCTGGGACCTGCTAGGGACATGAAGGTTTTATTGGATGCCTCTTCCAGGAGCCCAGCATTGTGTATTTTGAGAAGTGAAATGGTGTTTTGGTTACTACCAGTGATGTAACTCTGAAGGGAATGAGGAATGTTCTGCCAAGGCCTTGTATTGGGGCCTTAGTACATGTGGAGATGGGTGATTTTTATTTATAGTGGGCATCTGTGAGGCAGGAGACTTCCAGAGTTCTTTATCTTGTAAAGGACAATTTCTAGGCAATGGCCCCGAAGTGAAGACGGGACCATTCATGGGCCAGAGCATCCAGTGCAAGACAACTGATAGGCTGAAGTTTGGCCCAGTGTATTGTTTCGTGGCTCCTACCTTTTATTAGGGATAGCCGCGCTAAGGAATGGAACTCAGCAACATTCTGTTGATTTCTGTCATGTCACGTGCTGGCTAGCTGTACCATTCTCCCATGCTGTTTACTCAGTTCATGCCAAGGGGCTTCCCAGGTAGCCAAGGGGTCTTGGGGAGGGGTCACCTTCTCCAGCACCATGACATCTGGCAAGGGACCGAGGACAGGGGAAGCCACCTCCCCCTGTAGGTGGAATATGCCAGAAGGCCCAGGTTTGGTTCCATCCTATCTTCAGGAGGTCTTAGTCGCATTGCTGAGGTTTTGAGGTCCCCTTTCCATGACCCAAACCACAATGGGCAGCTGGCTGTGGAGGGTCACAGGCTCAGGGTCCGTGAGAGCCTCTATTTCCAGGAGAGCCTAGTAGGTAGTCAGGCTGGATGTAGGAAGGGGCCTGGCAACATGGATGAGACCATGAGGGGCAGCCAAGTGTCCGAAAGGGTGGGGCTCATGGTTGGGGGAGGTGCAAAGGGCCAGTGAAAAGCTGGAAAGTACAAAGCAGGGGAAGCTGCTGCCTGCCTCTCAGTTTGCTCCAGGAACCGGTTTCTGTCCAGTCCCCTGCGAAGGCCAGGGCAGGCCCGCTTCTGGGAAGGGCTCAGCAGACTGAGGTGGCCACAACAAGGTCACGGTTTGCTTCAAGGTCTCTGGCTTTGGCTCACACCAACAGCACGGTGATCTCTGCACAAAGGTGGGACTCTGATTTCACCCCGCAGGGATGGGAGTGTGGACATGTGTATCCATTGCCACATTACCAGGAAAAATACCACTCATGTCCTGTCCCTCTCTATCAAAAATAAGTAAATGTAAAAAAAATTTTTTTTTAAATAGAAAAATTTTAAAAAGTAAAAAAAAAAGAAAAGAAAATCTGTTGCTTGAAAATAATATTAAAATTTTTTTTTTAGTTTTTATTTTGAAATACTTATAGATTCATAGGGAGTTGATCTATAGGTTTAACTCAAATCCTATCAAAATCCCCGCGAGGTTTTCTCTTTGTAGGTATAGACAAGATTATTTTAAAATTTACAGGGAAAGGCAAAGAACTTGAATAAAGCAGTTTTGAAAAGGGATAGTACAATGGGTGAAATCACCTAGTTGATTTCAAGACTTACTGTATAGCTACTGTAATCAAGACTAAGAGTTATTGACAGAAAGATAGACATATAGATCAATAGAACTAAGTAGAAAGTCCACAAATAGGGGCACCTGAGCGGCTCAGTTGGTTAAGAGGCTGACTCTTAACTTTGGCTCAGGTCATGATCTCATGGTTCGGGAGTTCAAGCCCCGTGTCAGGCTCTGCAGTGACATCATGGAGCCTTCTCGGGATTCTCTCTCTGCCCCTCCTCTGCTCTTGCTCTCTCTCGAAAATAAATAAGTAAATAAACTTAAAAAAAAAAGCCCATAAATAGACCCTCACAAATATAGTCATTAGATTCTCTAAAAAATAAAACTACTCTGAAATAATCGTAGATTCACAGGAAGTGAATACAGAAAGATAGTCGAGAAATGTCCTGTGTACCCTTCACCCAATCTCCACTAATGGTTATATCTTAGATCATTATAGTGCAATATCAAAGGCAGGACATGGCTGATGATATGATGCATGTGCGTGGCTCTGTGTCATTTCATCACACGTAAAGACCCATGTTACCACGACCACAGTCAAGATACAGACATGTTACATCGCCACAAATTCTCCCTTGGTACAGTCGCACCCACCCTCTCCACACGCAGGCTCTTGGCACCCACCTGTCTCCCTGTTCTCCGTCTCCTCCACCTCTCACAGTCCCCAGTCCTCTGGACCCCTGGCCGCCCCTCCTGGTCCCACCTGTGTCACCAGATGCCCTCCATCCAGCCTGACCGTCGCTAACCCCTAACAACCACTAGTCTATTCTCCATCTCTGTCATTTTAGCACTTCAAGAATGTCATGTTGGGGCACCTGGGTAGCTCAGTTGGTTAAGCAGCCGACTTCGGCTCAGGTCATGATCTCGCAGTCTGTGAGTTCAAGCCCCGCTTCAGGATCTGTGCTGACAGCTCGGAGCCTGGAGCCTGCTTTGAATTCTGTGTCTCCCTCTCTCTCTGCCCCTCCTCTGCTCATACTCTGTCTCTCTCAAAAATAAATAAACCTTAGGGGCGCCTGGGTGGCTCAGTCGGGTTGGCTCGACTTACCCGCTGTCCCGATCTCACGGTCCAGGAGTTCAAGCCCGCATCAGGCTCTGTGCTGACGCTCAGAGCCTAGACCTGACTTCAGAATCATGTGCTCCTCTCTCTGGCCCTCCCCCCATTCATGCTCTGTCTCTCTCTGTCTCAAAAATAAATAAATGTTAAAAAAAAAATTTTTTTTTTTAAATAAAAAAATAAATAAACCTTAAAAAAAAAAAAGAATTGTCATGTAAATGGGACCAAACCACGCGTGACTTTTTGAGACTGGCTTTTTCACTCAATGTCATGCCCTTGAGACCCACCCAAGCTGCTGCGTGCATCGGAGCTCCTCCCTTTATTGCTGAGTTGTGGCCCGTGCTGCCTTCCGAATCTCAACCCTATTTCCTTCTCCCAGACTTCTCTTCCTGGCCTCTGAGCCAGGTGCTCCCGCCTGTTTCCCTCTCACCCGGGCTCTGAGTGGAGAGGGGACCGGGTGCATGGCCTTGGGACTGCAGGCACCTGGCGGGCGTGCGTTGTGGCTTTCTCCTTCAGCCTCGGGGAGATACACAAAACATGCACAAGCCACACAAACCATCCCGTGGCTCTCTGGACTGCTTTCATCACTCAGCTCTGTGCTGTAGTTATATTGCCTTTCTGCTCTCTTCTCCCCTTTACCAAAGATGGTTCGGGTTGTGCCCATCTGCCGTCTTAACCCCATTTGGCCAGGGCCTCGGCGGTGAAGGCGTCGATGCCCCCCTCAAGGCTCAGACTGGGAAGCCCGGCCCCACCAGCGGCGGCAGCCTCTCTGAGGCCCGCTGGGCATGAGGCAAGGAGCCACACACAGGGTCTTGTGACCAAAGGACAGGATCTGGCTCGTGTGGTAGGATCTAGGCCAGGGGTGCCAAGGAATGGGTGGTCTCCAGGGGAGACTCGCTGCATGGCCAGGGCCGCCTGTGTCACAATCTCTGGGGACGAGAGGTGTTGGGGGGTCTCCTAGCTCTGAGCTGATGCCCTGGGTTGTTGTGAGCAATCCTACCAGTGCCTCTTCACCTGCAGTAGGGTTTGAATCCCCCGGTCTCAGGCCACTCATCTGTGACATTCTCAGGATGCCCAGTCCCTCCCTCTACCAATAAAGACCATTCCTGGCTCCCAGCTGCCCTCAGAGTGCAGTTCAAGCTCTTCAGCATGGCAGACAGGGCTCCGCATGAGCAGACCCCTGACGACGCGGCTCCCCCAACTCACACCACATCCTGCCTTCTCTTTTTAGGCTACGGCCACATGGAGTACCAGTGGTGATTCCTCAGCCTCGCGGGCATCCTTCCCTCCCTGATCTGCTGTCCTCATCTCCCAGTGCAGAGATCACCTTCTCTTGGAAGCCCTCCCTGACTGCCTTCACATCCTGTGCTCCTGTTCTTATTCAAACACCCCACTGTTCTCGTCTGTCTTGCCGTTCCCTGCACTTGGCTGGCCACTCCCCACGTGATGTATGGGGACCAAAAATGAGTGACACAAGGCCCTGATGTCCCTCACAGTGCCAGGCATGACACAGATCCTTGCACCGGCCACCTCCAGCCTGAGGGGATGGTGCTGCCTCTTTGTCCCCCTCCCCTTCCCCCCTCCCGTCCTCCCTCTCTCTCTCCTCTCCTCCTCCCCCCACCCCTCCTTCTCTGTCTCCATGGCCTGTCTTGCCCCAGGCGTGGGTGAACTCACACTCTGATGTGGCTTGGCCAAGCCCAGTGCTTTCCTTCGAACGCAATGAAAACCAAACAACACATTGCTCATCATTGTTAGAAAAGTCAGTAGGATGGAAAAGCTGCCTCTTTACCCTCCCTCCCACCATGGTACCACCCCGGCTGGATTTTCCTATTCCTCAGAGCCCAAGATCTCAAGAGACTGCAGAATTCTAGGATCTTGGAATCGCAGGATAATGGAATCTTAGACTAATGTAATGCTAGAATCCTATAATCATTGCATCACAGAAAGCCACGATAATGGTATCTCAGTATTATATTATGTTCGAGCCACAGATTCCTTTTACAACATGGAATCTTTGCCTATGGAATCCTAGAATCCCCAGCATGCTGTTGCCAAAAACATCAGATTGGGCGCAAGAATCCACCTTTTGCAAGATCCGTGTGCTATGGACTGAAAGCTTGCCGTCCCTCCCCCCACCCCCATTCATATATTGAAGCCCTAATCCCCAGTGCGATGGTATTTGGAGGTGGAGCCTTCGGGAGGTCATTAGGTCATGAGGGTGGAGCCCTCACAAATGGGATTAGTGCCCTTATAAGGAGAGACACAAGAGAGACGGTCTTTCTCTCCAGCATGTGAGGGAGGACACAGCAAGAAGGTGCCCATCTGCACACCAGGAAGAGAGCCCTCACCAGACATGAAATCAGCCAGCCCCTTGATCTTGGACTTTCCAGCCTCCAGAGCTATGGGAAATGAATGTGCGTTGTTTAAGACACCATGAAAACTCTTCCGTCCAGTGTCACAGCAAGTGAGAAGTGAGGAAGGCTGTGGGCCTCCCAGGTGAGACTCCTGCCCTACACAAGAGCCGAATGTCCTCGGTGCTGGGAGGAAGACTGTGGTGACAGACGGACCTGAGTCCGATCCCAACTCCACTGATCCTTCAGCATGCAATCTGGACAAGGCACTCAACCTCACTGACCCCCCCGTTTCATCACGCAAAGCTAGGGTAATTTCAGGTGAGCTGTAAACCGTTAGCTCGTGTCTTATCAGGGTTCTAAGCTTTCTCCCGATGTGAGGCGCTCAGGGTCTTGAACCGAGAAGCTTTGGTGACCTGACTGGATTCAGAGGTGCAGGGCAGGAAAACCTGGTTCCTGGGGACAAAGCCAGGCTGAGGCCACGAGCCACACCGAGGACAACGATGTCAGGTCTGCTAGGGAAGGGCACAGATGGGGCCTCTGGTTCAGCCTTTCTGGAGCGTCTATTCCCAAGCACAAAGCCTCCTTGCCAGTAAGTCTGGGACATTCATTTACTTATTTGCCTGAGCCTCAGTTTCCTCAACTGTAGGGTCCAGAGAGTCACCCTCGTGGCTCAGTTCCCAGCCACCCCCACCAGCTCCTGGCCGTGCTTTTCCTCTCTCTGGGGCCCAGTTTACTCGTCTAGGACTTGGTCCCCAGGCCTACAGTTTCCTGAGGGCAGGCCAAAATGCATCCACTTTTCAGCCTATCGCACAGTGTGGGCCACAGGCCCCACCACCCGTTACAAACACAGACTATTCACTGTGTGTCCGAAGGGACAGTGGTGGTCACCTCACCTGCTCCGTCTGTCACATGTCCTTCTCTCACACAGGTCAAATGTTCATGCTGTCATTGAAGCCCCATCCCGGAGAGGCTGGTTGCGTCTTCTAGGTCACATAGCAAGAAATGGGTCAAGAGGTGTCTCAACCCCAGGCTTCTGTCTCCCTAAGGCTGTTTTCTTTTTTTGTTTTACTCCACTGGGTGGCATTTAGCCTCACAGTCTCCTACTTATTTACATATTAGGGGACAGGGGGTTGAAGCTGGTGGGGGAGCTCCTTTCAGGACATCAAAGTCGACTGAGCCTCCTGCGCCCTTAGTGGGAGGTCTGAAGGAGCCTGCTCCGTCAGCATGTCAGCAAAGCCAAGGCCCCTCCAGAGGGGCAGGGATGTGCGGGCAGTGGGGGTGGGTTGGGATCAAGTTGCCCTGAATGGAAACAAACTCCAACCCCAAACCAAACCCAAACAGAGATTCCAGGAGGAACTGGGTGTCCCAAGCCGCCCCAGGCTACAGGGACAGAGAGGGGTCAAAGGAGGAAATTAGGGCTCCCCAAGGGGCGTGCGGTTCCCAGGCCTGGGCCGAGCGGCCCTCCCTCAGAGACCCAGGCAGATGGAATTTCCATCCCCTGAGCCTGCAGCCAGTGCGGGAGAGCTGCTCCAGGCCTGTGTTTACATCAACCAGACAAACATCCACAGAGGGCTTGCTGTCTCCCAGCGGCCACCAGAGAATGCAGCGGGTGGAGAGATCCGGCCAGAAGCAACGCTTCCAGATTAGCAACATGAATGCTGGGGCGCATGACACCGGCATACTAGGCTGGACTTTTTGGGGCCCTTAGCACTTCCGAGGGCGCTGGTTTAGGCACAAGCAGGGGCTCAGTCAGGGGCTCTTGGCCAACAGTCTGCACTCCTGTGCTTCTGGCTTCGAGGGAAGTAGCAGCCGAGGGTAAACCAGGCCCCGAGACTCAGAAGGGGAGGGAAGAGCTGATCTTCACTGAGCGGGCAGGTCTTCTACTTCAAGTCTGTAGGACTCTGGGTTAGGAGGAAAGAACTGGAGAGAACTGGCAAATGCCGCGTGCTTATTGTTTGTTGGGTCCTGGGCCAGCCTCTTATTTTTTTTATTATTATTTTTAAAAAATTTTTATTTATTATTGAGAGACAGAGCATGAGCAGGGGAGGGGCAGAGAGAGAAGAAGACACAGTATCCCAAGCAAGTTCCAGGCTCAACGCAGGGCTTGAACTCACAAACCTAGAGATCACGACCTGAGCCGAAGTCAGACGCTCAACCAGCTGAGCCACAGGACCAGCCTCTTATTAAGGTGAACCCTCTCAGGGCGCCTGGGTGGCTCAGTTGGTTGAGCACCCAGCTCGTGGTTCTGGCCTCGCGTCGGGCTCCGTGCTGAGTGTGGAGATGCTCTCTCTCTGCCCCTCCCCCACTCACACACTCTCTTCCTAAAATTAAAAACAAAAAAAAATGCATTCTCTCGTTGAGTCTTGACCACTGCCCTGACAGGCGGATTAACACCCCCATTTGGTAGATGGCCAGGGGGCACAGTGGTGGGTGGGGTGGCCTGATCACATGCTCTGACTGAATTCGGGGGGGTTGGGGTTCATAGCCCTGGTTCTCAGTCCACCAGTGAGGCTGATATTGTGGGACAGGTGAAGGGAGGGCTGAGGGACATCTGTCCTCCCCCATGAGCCCAGGAAGCCAGCTGCAGAGAGAGGCAGCAATAAGAAAGAAGCACCCTGGCCTCACCTTCTCAGGTCTGGACTGTTTTTCCAACCCTCACCCTTGCCAGGGGTTCCATGGAACACCATGCCCTTAAGGTGAATAACCATTTTGGCCTAAGCCTGCCTGAGAGTCTTTAAAAAAATTTTTTTTAACGTTTATGTATTATTGAGAGACAGAAAGACACAGAGCATGAGCAGGGGAGGGGTAGAGAGAGGGGGAGACACAGAATCCAAAGCAGGCTCCAGGCTCCAAGCTGTCAGCACAGAGACCAACACAGGGCTGGAACTCACAAACTGCAAGATCATGACCTGAGCCGAAGTCGGACGCTCAATGAGCTGAGCCACCCAGGTGCCCCTGCCTGAGAGTCTTAACAGCTGATTTACTGCCATTTAAAACCGGGAGAACCAATTAATCCCACAGGATCTTGTCTCTGAGTTCACTGAAGCAGTACCCACCCTCAGCTTTGTCCACAGTTCCAGAGACTTCCCCACGAATAAAACCCTCCTTCTCTTAGTGCCCTCTAAGGGCCCCATGGGACAAGGCCCCATGGCTTCGGGGCCATGTCCTCTAGATGCACACACACACACACACACACACGCACCCCTATGCCCACTGCCCTAAGCCCTTCACCCAGACATACCCTCTTCTACCCCCACCCTTCTAGAGGGCTCCAGACTCCAATATCCCCTCCCACTGCCGTGCCCATCTCCAATCACCCTTGAAATTCTTGGTTTTATAGGATCCATGCCCTGCCCAGGGTTGAAAGAGTAGACCTTCTTTTTGATTCCATAGGCATTTTTATGTCTCATCCCTAGCAACCAGGTCCCCACCCGA